GAAAATGTTTGTTTTCTCACTTGCCAAAACATGAACAATCAGAGATTTTGGGGAATTCTATGAAAGCCCAATTAAAAAAAAAATCTGATAGGCTCTAGATGTTTGATTGACTTGATAGCAAAGGTCTTAAAGAGTTCCAAACATAATTCAAATTTATGTTCTTAAATTATCCCTGTATATTAATACTCTAATGTTTTTAATTGAAATGGCAAACTTACTGTGCTGTTCTTTCAGGAATTTTTCCCAGCTTGCAATGCATTCCAACCTCCAATATCAGCAATCATTGGTGATATCTATCTATCTATCTATCTATCTATCTATCTATCTATCTATCTATCTATCTATCTATCTATCTATCTATCTATCTATCTATCTATCTATCTATCCACCCACTGCCAGGATTGTTTGGTTCTCCCTCTCTCTCATGCCCCCATAACTGTATTCTCCAACAGCCATTGTCGTGTCCCTTTGCTGGATGTCTTGAGTTACTGGTTCTCTCTGCAGTTCCTAGCAGACAGGGATCTACTCCACAGATGGGAGCTCCCTACTCCCCTCCTTGGGCAGGCTTGGCTGAGAGGTGATGGACTAAATGGGATGAGGGACAGAAAGCCCCCCACCCCAGCTCTAGAGAGGGCCAGGCAGAGGAAGGAGGAGAGTGGGGTGGGAAGTAAGTAGTGGCCAGTGCTATCCAAAGGAGAGAAGCAGGAGAGAATGTCTGGTGTTTGGAGGTGGGACTGAAGGAAGCGGGGCGGGGTGATTCCCTGGGGCTGGGATCATATCAGAGGAGCAGGGCTGAGTAGAGAAGGGGACTGGTGAGCAGAGGGGTTCAGCAGGGATCTCTGAGGAAGCTGAGTCAGGAAGTCTGGGTGGGGAATTGACTCTGGGCCATGGGAGGGGGAATCTCAAAGAACGGGGCCCGGGAGCATTTGTGAGGTGAAGGGTTGTAAGAGGGAAGGGCGGGTGTTTGGGGGTCTGAGCTGTGTAAGGCAGAGGGAAGGAGACACCAGGGGACTAGTGCAAGAGCATTCAGGGGGTGGAGGATGTGGGAGAGGCTGGAGTCAAAGGGCCTGAATCTCTTCTCCCTGAAACCAGACAAACTCCACCGTAACACCATGGACTTCCCCTGAGATGAGTGACTGGGAAATCAGCCCTATTGATTCCAGTGGGATTACTCCTGATTTACACCAGGATGAGTGAAAGGGAAATCAGTTGACTGCAGTGGAGTATTTCTAATTTTTCTTACAGTTGGTGCATTTTGGTGCTGATTTTATTGTGCACAGCTAGAGATCAAACCGGGGCTCAGATTCTCAAACCAGGGACCCCAAAGCTCAGCAGAGTGCAGTCCACCCACTGGATCTCGTGGGGAAATAAAGTGATAGCGTTATCAGCCACAGTGTTTAGTTCTCAGTTAGGCGCGTCAGCCTTTGAAGTGGTTGGAGTCGCGCCAAACAAATTGCACTGTGCATGTGCCTGGCGAGAGGAGGAGCTGGTTGAAAGCTGTTTCTGACTCGCAGCCCCATAGCTGCTGAAAGGAGAATGTTCTGGCCAACAAACCTAGGCCCTGTGAGTTAAAATCTAACCCTGGGCAGAAATCTGTGACTAAAAGCAGGTGACATCTGCCTCTGTGGAAGGGTTTCTAATCTTGGGGAACTGTCCCTTGAGCACAGTCAAATATTGAGAAGGTGCTGAAACTATTTTTGAAATGAAAATAAATAACCCATGCACACGCTCACTGGGAGGTGGGATTATTGGGGGTGGAAGAGTTGGTGGGAAAGGGAGAGAGGTGTTTTGGGGGCCGTGAGAGGAGGGGTGATTATGGGGAGGAGGATTAATGAGAAGGGTGTATAGGAGACGGGTTGGGTGTGAGGAGATGGGGGGGTGGGGCACTGGGAAGGGGAACATGAGGGTGAGTGACAGCGTCCTGGGGTAAAATGGGGACGGGTCACCTGACAATCCCACATTCCCCTCCCATGTCTGTAGAAATATCTGGGGGTTCCCAACCCATCTATGGGGGTCCAACCTTCCCTGCTCCCTTCACGTGATCTCGGAGGCTTTGTCTTTGCCATTCTGGGGGGGCTGAACCCGTCTCCTTAAACCCTTCCCCATGTGTGCTGGGTCTAGGGAATCACGACCCCTTGAGGTGTGAAGTTGAGAATAGGCACATGTGGGGCGTGCACCGACAACACCATGAAACCCTGCTGGCACTGGCGTGGCTGGTACGAGTGAAACAGTTAACACTTATCTGAGCACTTGTTTCAGGCTGTACCATCTCCCGGAGGGATTCTCACTCAGCTCAGAATAGCTCATTAAGCTGAACAGGCCATTTCACTGAGCCTCCTATGTGGCAAATGGATGCATCCGTCTTTGTGCTACACTTATGGAGAGGTTCTAGGGGTGAATGTGAGGGGAACCCAGACAGGCACAGAATAGAGCTCCTGTCCAGAAAAACACATGGTGGTTCTGAAAAGATCCTTTTGCTTCTCTCGTCATCCATATCCACTGCTATCTACAGCTGATGCCCAATGGGGGTCCCCAGGGCTTTGTTGAAAGAAATACGTGTTTGTGGCACAGACATGTGACCTACAATAGCTAAGAGCCCAGTGGCACCAGACCCCCAGCATGAACGTGCCGTAGTGCAGAGGATGACAGATGACAACGTAGCGGTCATAGGCCATGACCCCCAGCAGCAGGCACTTAATCCCCCCGAAGGAGATGAAGAAGATCTGAGTGAGGCAGAAAGCCCATGAGATGAACTTGTCTTGCAACAGATAATTGGCCAACATCTTGAGCATGGTGGAGCTGATGTAGCCAATGTCCACCACTGAAAGGTTGCCCAGCAGGAAATACATGAGTGAGTGGAGCCTGGAGTCCAGACTGAGCAGCGGTAAGATGAGCACGTTGTTCATCGGGGCCACCAGGTAGATGGCTGTGAAGACCCCAAAGAGGATGAGCTGTTCCTGCAGGTTGCTGGAGAGACCTAGGAGGATGAATTTGGTCACCAAGGTGCCGTTCTCCCCTCTCATGGGCTCCAGGAGGTCCATCTCCTACAAGCAGAGGAAGGGCAGTGGTGTGATAAGTGGATCGACAAATTCACCCTCTTTGTGATCTCAACTGTAAAAAGCATATGAAAGTTCCTAAGTTGTCACAACAACCTACAATAACAAAGGTTGATGGGAAAAGGTGGGAAAGAGAGACAGAAAGACTGAATTAGTCCAACAGGACTAATATCCTCCTGATATCACTCAAGGTCTATGTTAAGATCATGCCTGGTAAACAACAGAAGTGTGGGGCCGGGAATCAGTGAACCAAAACTGTGTGTTGGAAACTAGGCCTAATTGGAGGACAAAATAGCGAGCGGATGGGCTATTCTGCCTATCACTCCCTTTGGGGTCCTTCAAGAAAAAGATTTTGGGGGGAAAATGAGGAAGAACAACAGAGGCTACTGGAGCCAGATTCACCATCAGATCTGCCACACACCCCATCCCTGTGTTTCCAGCTCTTCGTCCTCCTGAT